GGTGGGGACGCATGCGAACTGTGCCACTGGGACCTTCGGCGGAGCTCCTATGGGGCCACGAAGCGTGTGAGGGGTGTGCCGACATGAGTGGGGACGCATGCGGTGCCACTGGGACCTTCGGCGGAGCTCCTATGGGGCCACGACGTGTGAGGGGTGTGCCGAAATGAGTGGCGGGGACGCATGCGAACTGTGCCACTGGGACCTTCGGCGGAGCTCCTATGGGGCCACGAAACGTGTGAGGGGTGTGCCGAAATGTGGCGGGGACGCATGCGAACTGTGCCACTGGGACCTTCGGCGGAGCTCCTATGGGGCCACGAACGTGTGAGGGGTGTGCCGAATGAGTGGCGGGGACGCATGCGACTGTGCCACTGGGACCTTCGGCGGAGCTCCTATGGGGCCACGAACGTGTGAGGGGTGTGCCGAAATGAGTGGCGGGGACGCATGCGAACTGTGCCACTGCTCCCTATGGGCCACGAAACGTGTGAGGGGTGTGCCGAAATGAGTGGCGGGGACGCATGCGAACTGTGCCACTGGGACCTTCGGCGGAGCTCCTATGGGGCCACGAAACGTGTGAGGGTGTGCCGAAATGAGTGGCGGGGACGCATGCGACCTGTGCCACCACTGGGACCTTAGGCGGAGCTCCAGTGGGGCCACGGTCCTCGCGAGGGGTGTGCCGAAATGAGTGGCGGGGACGCATGCGAACTGTGCCACTGGGACCTTCGGCGGAGCTTCCTATGGGGCCACGAAACGTGTGAGGGGTGTGCCGACATGAATGGTGGGGACGCACGCGAACTGTGCCACTGGGACCTTCGGCGGAGCTCCTATGGGGCCACGAAACGTGTGATGATGCTGATGATGCTGATGATGCTGATGTTGATGATGATGATGACGACGATGATGACGATGATGATGATGATGATGATGATGACGATGACGATGATGATGAGGATGGGGATGGGGATGAGGATGATGATGAGGATGAGGATGAGGATAATGATGAGGAATGGGATGGTGATGATGATGATGATGATGCTGATGCTGATGCTGATGCTGCTGATGATGATGATGATGATGATGATGATGATGATGATGATGATGATGATGATGATGATGATGATGATGATGATGAGAGGAGGGGAGGAGGAAGGAGGAAGGAGGAGGAAACGCGGGGACCGTCTCTTCAAAACGAGGACCCAACAACACAGGTTGGTTTGGAAAAAGTTTAGAACAGAAGTGGCACAAGCATGGAAGCCAAAACGATACTGAATCAGACCAGGCGGGGCCCGTCGCACGAAAGGCGAATGTCACTGAATGATCCTTTTTGGGCGCTGCCGTGTGCAGATCATTCAAGACGATCGTCTTGTTGATTTTGTGATGGCGTACGCCCCGAATGGCGACTGCGACGTGCCTGGGAGGGGGCCCGCCATGCACCTGCGCCCAGATCGACTACATGTAAGAGTGACCTTTCGCCAGAGTTACCTTTGGTGCGGGCTCATCGGGCTCCCCCCGATCGCCGAGCGCGATGCGATATAAGCGGCCCGCGCCCTTGGGTTTGGCTCCCTCGCGCCCCCAAAAGCTGCGCACCAAAGGTCACTCTTACCCAGGGTCACTCTTACGCCTAGCCGACCAGAGCGCTGACTGACACGCTGGGTTCTCCGGCCCTGCTCGTGGGTGTCGTCGCCGTCACGATTCTCTGATCGTCCTTGGCTTCGACCGGACTCCTGTAGATCCGATGTCTTGATCTTCGGAGGAGGGAAATGTTCTACCCTCCCCTCGTTTTCCCCTTTTGGGCCTCCTGGGCCTCCGTTGTCGTCACCGCTGGATTCGCCTCGAAATTCTGGTCAGAACGCACCCCGGGAGAGGTCTGGGGAATAGCGGTATCGGTATCTTTTGGTTTCCCCATCTCAACTTTTTTTCGGGGGTGGACAGACCTCCTACCCTGACACGTCGATTGGCGAATTGGCCGTTTTCGGTTCGCGAGGGGGCGTCGCGGCCGTCACTTTTGCGGGTCCAGGTCCGTCGGTTTCGGTCCCAGGCCGTTTTCATTAAGGGGAGGTTCACTAAAGGGAGGTTTGTCCACCGCCGAGTTTTTTAGGGGACCAGCTTTACCCTTCCCAGAAGTGTCGACCCCTTCCCAGGGGCCACCTTTTCGCCGAGTAGTTCTGTTGATGGCCCAGAGGCGCCCCGGCGAGGGCCCCAAGATCTTGAAAACGGCAAATCAACTTCGTCTTGATGTTTTCAATGCGAGAACTCGCGCGGTGCGCAATAGTTGAAGACATGTGTCGACGTTCGCGCGGCGATGCTCCGGCGATGCTCCGGCGTAAATCCGATGTGAGTCCGACGTAACTCAACCGCAATTTGGCGCGAACCCGACGCGAACCCGACGCGGAGATCCGACCTCAATTGGGTCTCGAGTGGCCGCGCGAGGCCTCAACGGTTGTCCTCAGAAGTTGGTCGCTTGGACTCTGCGCCAACCGGACTCGCTAGGGTTGAGTCGGGCCCGTCCCCCTACAAGCCGCTTTTGGACGAAGAATGAAAAATACCCCCAAGATAGTAACACAAATAGTCCAAAAATAGCCCGGGGACTATTTTTTTGTTATTTTTTGCCTTTTCGGGGCATTTTGATTTTTATTTTTTTTTTCTCATCGAAAATCCCTCGCCGCCTGGGGTCGGACCGACTCCGGTGGGGTCCGGCGGGTCGTCGGCGCGGACGCGTACGTGCAGCTGGTGGACGCGTGCCTCTCCGCGAGCCAGGCCGCTCGCGCGAGCCGCCTCGAGGGCGCCGGCGAGTGCGACGCCGCGCTCGTGGCCTCGCCGGTGGCCAAGCTGCCGTGGCTGCCAATGGAAGAGCGAAAAGCAGCTGGAGCGCGGAGCCGTGGAGGTCCCCTGAGATTCGGAGGTGGATAGACCTCCTACCCTGACACGTCGACCAAGGAATTGGCCGTTTTCGGTTCGTGAGGGGGCGTCGCGGCCATCATTTTTGCGGGTCCAGGTCCGTCGGTTTCGGTCCCAGGCCGTTTTCACTCAGGGAGGTGTGTCCACCGCCGAGAGATCCTGGCCTGTCAGTTGTCTCGAGCCGGGCGCTTTGCCCGGATTGGGGCCTTGGGACCCCCTCACGGCTCGATGCGGAGGGCCGCGCCGACCCAAGAGCCCACGTCCATGTCCATGCTCGCGCGGGCCCCCGAGAGGCAGGGAAACGGCTTCGATTGTGCGGAATGTCGCGCGTAGGTTGCCTAGCCTGCGTAATTAAGGTCGCGTGTGAGCGCTCCCGTTTCCGATGTCCGATGTGGCGTGCCGCGCTGGCGGCCCGCGCAAGCCACTCCGTATGCCATCGTACGTACGACCCGTCTTCTCATGCCGCACCGTCGCGCATCAGCCGACTAGTTATGCATGCAACCGAAGAAATATGTGCCCGAATACGTACCCGAGGTTGTTCCGAAAAGGCCGCGTGACCACAATGTTGACCGACATTGAGATTCGTTTTGACTTCGAATCAACATTTTCAGTCAACTCGGGCGCGTTCGGATTCAGCGGGCGCCGGTTTCGGTCACGTTCGGGCAGATTTCTGGGCACAGTCACGGTCATTACGTCCCCCTGGCAGAGACGAGGGTACGTGACCTTTTTTGCGGCGCCCATCTGGGCGACGCAAGACATCGAGTTTGTTCTCACCGACGCTGGCGCGTCGCGTAAGCTGCCCGCGTATGACCGTGCGTTGGCGCCCTCTCTTCCAGTGCAGCGTGCCGCTGGCCCGCCTAAGCCGCGGCGTGCGGTCGCCATGCCATCTCGCAGAAGACTCGTATCTCTTCGCCGCCCATGCGCTTTTCGGCTCTTCTGGCCCGGCTGGATCTTGAAGGATGCCGGCCGCCTCCCCGAGCCCCCGCCGGCGCAGGCCGGGCAGGGCCCGCAGGAGCAGGCCGCGACTCTGTGGCTCGGGGACGTGCCCGCCGAGCTGGCCACCGCGAAGCGAGTCGCCGAGGTGCAGAGTTCGACTAGACGTAAGAGTGACCTTTCGCCAGAGTGACCGTTGGTGTGGGCACAGATGTGCCCGCAGATGGCCGAACGCGAAGCGAAAGCAGCGGCTAGCGCGCCTGGATTTGGCCTCCCCGCGGCCCCCCAAAAGCCGCGCACCAAAGGTCACTCTTACCCAGGGTCACTCTTACGTGTAGCCGAAGAGTGGAGCATGTACCCACACCGCTGCCCTTTGCCCGTTTTCCCTTTTTGGGCCTCCTGGGAGGCCCTGGTCGCCACCGCTGGATTCGCTTCAAAGTCATGGGCAGAGCGCACCCCAGGAGAGGTCCGGGGAGCAGTGGTAGCGGTGCCTTGTGGTTTCCCCAGAGGTGCTCCACATGCGGGGAAGGGTAAGGCTCGGATCGGCCGGAACTCCTGTCGGCGGCGTGCTCAGTGGGGAGTGAGAAGGAACTGGCTTTCTCAGAAGGCCAGGGGATTTCTCAGAAGCCCTCGCGCCTTCCGAGAAAGTGTACGCATCTTCGAGGAAGGCTTAGAACATTCCTCAGAAGGCCAGAGGCCTTCCGAGCCTTCCGAGATGGCCTGCCCCCCCCCCTCGACTTTGCCAGGACTCCTACAGCCAAGGCGTCGAAATACGGACCAGCTTGAGCTCAGGAGGGGCGTCGGCTTCGGGTCGTTCCTGAACTTTTCAGGAGGGGAAAAAACACACAGACACTATCAATCGTCGATTCCCAAGAAAATATGGGAAAATATGGGAAGTGGGGGGGAAGAGGAAAACCCAGCCCAGAAAATATGGGAACAAATGGGGAATCCTTTTACATGTGTGCCTTTGTTTGTGTGTCCCAGGGCCCCTTCAACTCTGGGTTGGTGGACCTCTTTGCTGCCCGGGCCCGCCGCGGCCAGAAGAGCCCCGTGGTTTCTTGCCTGGCGTTCTTTCTATGATTGCACGTTTGACCGGAAGGTCCCCCCCCCGGGGGCGCGAAGAGAACCGCCCTGCGCGCCTCGCGGCCCGGGGTGGAGAGCTGCCCCTCTCTTCAGGGGGGGCGGCGCGGGGGCGCGAAGGTAACCCCGCGCCGCGCACCGCGCGGCGCGGGGCGCGAAGTGCGGTGGCCTGGGGGTTCGCCGGTGCTGCCTGACGGGCCCGCCCTTTGGATTTGGACGGCTCGGTTCTCGTGGGGTGCTTGCAGCGGGAGCTCGCGTCGAGTTCCAGATTGGGGCTTGCTCGTTTTCCGGATGGCCCCGCCAGGCTTACCCGAGTCCCCCGAACCCGAGTCTTGCGTCTCCCCGGCACATGTGCGTGCCGCCGACGATGCCCACGCCGTTTGTGAAGAAGGCCTCGGAGCAGAACACACCTCCGAAGCGTAATAAATCCCCTGAGCTCCGCGCGGACTTCTTGGTTCGACGCTTGGCTCCCATGGGCGGCGCCCCTGGCGCCGCCCTCTGGCGCGGTCCGCTCGCCAGGGAGGGTGTCCAGCGCCGATCAAAGAAATCCGCGCCACCTCCGACGGTCTTTGCTTATGGTAGGTTCCTGCGTGTCGACGCGACGACGACCCCAGCGCGGTCTTTCAGGGTTAATTTGACCAGTGTCCCAGAATCGACCAAGATGGAGCGATTTGGTGATCGAAAGGCTGCCGATCGTTCAAGGCTGAGCGATCCACGCGATGTCAAAAACCAACGCCGAAGTCCTCGCGACACGAACCTGCGGTATGCCGTTTCTTGCTCCTCGAAAGGTCGTCCGCCAGGGCTACCGCCGGCGGCCTGCCCAGGACGGCGACGCGGACGCCGCTGCAGCGGCCCGCGAGCCTTGCGAGCGCCGGGCCGACGCGCCCTGGCTGGGCTACGCGTTCGTGACCTTTAGGCCAGGATGCAACTCCTGGGAGGTGATCTGCCCGATCTGGCTCGATCCTGCTGAGCCCGGCTTGGCCCTGCTGAGCCCCGCCTGATCCAAGGCCCATGATGGTGTAGTCTGGCTCAGCGGCCCCTCGATAGGGACTGATCGCCCTTATTCTTTCTCACGAAGCCCTCCCAGGAGTTTCCTTCCTACAACCCTCAACGTAAACTTGATGGGCTCGCCGCCCCCAGCCCTCAAACCCAAGTTGGCCCGAGGAATTGGGCTCGGCGGCCACCCCCGCCAGCACTGGAAGGGGGGCAGGGGGTGCCACGGATCATGTGTATTCTCAGTGCGATCTCGCAGCGATCCGAAGAATACCACACGACCCCATGTCTACAGCCAGAACCGATCGTAAGGATGGGTAGCCTTCCCAAGGGCACCCTTGCATCCTTGCCTCCTCGGTCCATCCTTCATCACCTTCGATGGCCAGCCCCGCTCGAGAAGCTTCGGCATGCCCGGGAGGGTGGTACCCTTAAGTCGGGCCTGTCCCTCTACAGGGGGAAAATTCAAAAATAGTTTCAAAATGGTCTGGGGACGATTTGTTTTTTATTGTTGAATATTTTTGTTGAGGCATTTTTCAGGAGGGGAAAAACACACAGACACAATTATTCGTCGCCCCCCAGAAAGTATGGGAAACTATGGGGAGTGGGGGGGAAGACAAAAACCCCGAACATATGGGAACATATGGGGATTTTTTTTTTTTTTAAATGTGTGTATTTCTTTGTGTGTCCTGGGCCCCCATCAATTTTGTGCGTATGTTTAATGTTTCGTCCAACATCCCCCCCTGGTAGGGGGGACACGCCCGACCTGCCATGGTGCCCTCAGGGACGGCGCCGAGGCCGCCGAGGCCCTGGCGCTGCTGGACGGCAGGGCGGCGGAGGGCTGGACCATCCGGGCCCAGTGGGCGGAGGAGCAGCACCAGGGCGGCCCGAAGAAGGGCCGGAGGCTGGGCGCCCGGCTGGCGGCGGGCCACGACCCGCCCCTGGGCGATCTACCCCGTCGAGGGGGAGGAGGGGGAGGAGGAGGAGGAGGAGGAGGAGGAGGAGGAGGAGGAGAAGGGGGAGGAGGAGGAGGAGGAGGAGGAGGAGGAGGAGGAGGAGGAGGAGGAGGAGGAGGAAGAGAAGGCGGAGGAGGAGGGGGATGAGGGTTACAGTCGGGGCGCTGAGGAAGGAACCCTTTTTCGTTGGGGAGGGGCTCGGTGTTCCTTAGTTGTTTTGTAGTTCGCCTTAGGTTTTGCTGAGGGTTTCGATGGGAAATCGAAGTTTAACTTATGGGAAAAATGGGCCTCGTTCCTTATTTAGGGTTCCTTAGGTCAATGCCCTGACTGTAGTCGCCGTTTTCGGGCTCCCAGGGACTATCAGGAAACGACTCGGGATGAAGACCTCCTCCTGGGGAAGTGCTCCGGGGTCCAGGACCTCTTTCTCCCATGCGAAGCCTGGGCCTTCAGACGGGGTCCGAGCAGATGTGGTCGGAGCATCGTGCCGCATCGCCAATGCATCGCCTATGCGGCTCGATGTGGAGTCCGATTTCCTCCACGCCGACGTCCCAGATGCATCACCGATGTCGTCGACGCATCGCCGATGTATCCGCGATGCATTGGCGATGCGGCGCGATCCTCCGACCACATCTACTCTCTACTCGGACCCCATTAGCCAGGCGAGCAGCTCTTTCCCGCCGCGCTGCATGGCGCCGAGCTCGCCGCCGCCCTGGAGCGCAGCAAGTCAGAGGAGGGCAAATATTTGGACAGTGGTAGTTGGCCTTCGGGAAGCCCCCTCGTCGCCACGGCTGGGGGCGCAGCTCGGACAACTGGCGCGTTTGGACGTAGGGAGGGGTGTGGGGACCGATGTTGCATGGTGGTCGCGGCCGGTGTCGGCGCGAACGGATTCCTGACGCTAAGTTTCAAGCTGCTATAATACATTGCGCTGGGTTGCATTAGTCTACACTAAGATATACAAAGTTATATCCAGAGCCCGTTCGGACAAAATAACGGCGCCCCCTCCTCTCCCCCTGAAGTCATGCCACGGCGGTCGTCTGGAGGCGACCGCGGACCTCCCTATGGGGCCACGAAGCGCTGTGCTGGTGTGTGAAACGCAGGGCGCAAGGGCTGTGCTGGGTGGTGGCGGACGCATGCGGGCGGTGCCAATGGTGCCTTCGGTGGGGCCCCTTATGGGGCCACGGAGCCTTGCAATTACTGGGTGGGCGAAACGCAGAGAGCAAGGTCCGTGTTGGGTGGTGGCGGACGCATGCGGGCGGCGCCACTGGGACCTTCGGTGGAACCCCCATATGGGGCCACGAAGCGCTGTACTGGGTGGGTGAAACGAAGGGAGCAATGGCTGTACTGGGTGGTGAAGGACGCAAGCGGGCGGTGCCGCTGCGACCTTCGGTGGAGCACGCTATGGGGCCACGAAGCGGTGTACTGGGTGGGTGAAACGAAGGGAGCAATGGCTGTGCTGGTTGGTGGCGGAAGCATGCGGGCGGTGCCACTGAGACCTTCGGTGGGGCTCCCTATGGGGCCACGAAGCGCTGTACTGGGTGGGTGAAACGGAGGGAGCAGGGCTGTGCTGGGTGGTGGCGGACGCATGCGGGCGGTGCCACTGCGACCTTCGGTTGAGCCCCCTATGGGGCCGCGACGCGCTGTACTGGGTAGGTGAAACGCAGGGAACACGGGCCGTGTTGGGTGGTGGCGGACGCAAGCGGGCGGTGCCACTGGGACCTTCCGTGGAGCTCCCTATGGGGCCACGAAAAGCAAGGGCTGTGCTGGGTGGTGGCGGACGCATGCGGGCGGTCCCACTGGGGGCTTCGGTGGAGCTCCCTATGGGGCCACGAGACACTGTGCTGGCTGGGCGGGTGGAACGCACGGAAGAATGAGAGGGAGGGGGGGGGGGGGGAGGAGAGGAGGAACGCGGGGGCCGTCTCCCCAAAACGAGGACCCAACGCCACAGGATGGTTGGAAAAAAACAAGTGGGCAAACAAAACATGCCCCCGAGGGGTGGCCGGAGACGGCGCGAGGAGATAGCAGGCGGGGGCGAGGGGGTGGCGGCAGCGGAGGGGGAGGGGGGCGGGCGAGGAGCGGGCGGGCGGAGGGGCGAGCGGCGCGGGGGGCGGGAGGCGGAGGCGGGGCGACGGAGGGGCGAGGGGCTCGAGGGGCGACGGGGGGGCCGCGAAGAGGGCGGGGCGACGCTGATCGACGCCGCGTCGAGTGCCTGGGGCGCAGGCGCCACATGCGCGGGTTTGGCTTGCGAGCGTCCGGGCAGGCCCGCCGCGATCCCGACCGGGGCCGCGGACGGGGGCCGGTTTGCTCGGGCGGGGGCCTCGACGGGGGGGTGGGGCGGGGGGCGCGTGAGCGTCGAAGGCATTCCCCCCCCATCCACTGGGCCGCCCCCCCCCCCCCCGCCGCGCCCCCCCCTCCTCGTCGCCCCCCCTCTTCGCCGCCCTGCGCATGTGATTGAGAGCTGCGCGGGTAGTGGATAGTGGATTAACGATCGCGCGCCGCCCGCTTGTTAATGGCGTGACGGCGTGTGTGGGCGCGGGGGAAAGGGCGCCATCCATCGCGGCCTCTGCGCTTGCCAGTTTGCTAGAGTAGCGGGGGCGCGCCAGAACACCGAGGCCCCCGTGGGCCCATGAGTTCCTGGGCGCTGCTGCCAGGGGCAACCCTGACGCGCCCGCATGCACGGGCGGAGTTTTTACGCACCTGGACAGCGAGTTGCCAGTGCCACCCGCGACTTCCGAGCGCGACGCCCTCGGCGGCTATGGTAACCCACGCGATGTGCAGCCTTCGAAGATTGCTGCCCTCGCCGCCGCTGTTCCGCTGCGCCTTGCAACAGATGGATCGCGCAGCAAGCGACTGCTCAGGCAGCCCCGCCGAGCGCCCCGGGCCATCGCAGCGCGCCCAGACGTAGGCGATGACCTCGTTGCCACGTTGAGAGGAGTTGTGCCTGGCCAGCCCCTGCGCGCCCCAGCGAAGGCGGAACGTGTTGTTTTCGCGTTGCGTGGCCAAGTGTCGACGAGAGATGTTGCGCGTGTCTCGGATTGTTTAGCAGCCGTGCGCATCTGGCAGCGGCAGGCATCGCACTTGTTGTCGGTGTCCAGCAAATTAGCAGGCGCGCGCAAGTTCGCCCCGCAGCTCGAGGGCGCCCCTTTTCATTCTGTCAGTTATCAGTTAAGCATGCCAAAGCACGCAACTCTGGCGAGGTTCCAGCAGGTCTGGAAGGGGATGATCGGGCGTTCGCCTCTGCAAGCGCGGCGGTGGATAGGCAGGCCAAGGTTGCCCTGGACCAGTGCCCCAGCCCGGCCCCCGAGTCTTGACTGGCGCTGATCTGGCGGCCCAGCGGGCCACGTGGTTTCCCGAGTTCGCCGCGGAGGTCCTGCCCCAGTTCCAAAGCGACGCGCGCTGGACTCGGGCCCGCGAAGTTGCCCCTGGGCGCTCGCGCGGGCCAGCGACGCGGCGCGACTGGCGGCCGGGAGAGCTCGGATTGCAGCGTCGTTCTTTTTCTGGCCCTTGCCGAGGGCGATTCAGGCCAGCCCCCAGTGGGCGCATGCCCTGGCGCGCCCTCTGTGCTGCAAAAGTTGCGCGCGAGCCCCGCGGGTCGCGCCGTCGTCGCCCGGGCCGGGGCGCTCGCTCGCGAAGTTGAGGGGCCGCTTCGACCCGACTCCGACAGGCCCGCGGCCCGCGGACAGCATGTCGCTTTTTTGAAACGTGGAGGGCGGCCCCCAGGGCGAGCTAGAATGCTCGGCCGAAGTTGCGAGCCGCCGACGAGACAGGGGCTGGAGGTCTGCGGGGGTTTCGGGCAAGTGCCCCAATCGTCGCGCGCGGGCGTTGCTCGACGCAGCTGCGCCGCCCGCGTCGCTTGCTGTTTCCGACGAGACCTCCAGGCAGGTCTTCCAGTGCCCCGCCCATTGTTCGAAGTTCGGACTCGGCATTCGGCCTCGGGCTCGGCCCCCTCCGACGAGCAGCGACTGGCCGCGCGTGTCGAACAAATTCGGTTGGAGGAGCAGGGAGCTGATGCTCGTGCTCGAGGGGTATAGATGGGCTTTTAGAGTCGGTCTTTCGGCTTGTTCTTGAGCGCCCGCCCCCCCCCCGTCGTTTTCTTGTGCTGCGCGCCCCCCATGTGGGAAGCCCATGTCATGCCGCGTCTTCGCCGCCCTGCTTCCGCCGCTGCCCCTCGTCCGCCGTCGCCGCGCGCCCGCTCTTCAGGCGGCGCGCTGGCGCGCTGCCCGTCGCAGCTGCGCAGGCCCGGCCCCGGCCCCCCCCCGCCCCCCCGGGGCCCGGCCCCCCCCCCCCCGCCCGCGTAAAACGGCGTTGCTGCGGAAGAGCGGCGCGCGATGCAAGCGGGTGGCGCGAGACGAAGCGAACGGAATCGAGCGCCGCTGAGGTTGGCCGTGGCGCGCGCGGGGGCGCGGTCGCGGGGCTCGGCGCCCTATCGCTCGCACTGGGCCCGGCGTCGAGGCCCCCCCCTAGGTCGCGTGCCCGAGCGTCGCCGGCGCGTCGCAGACGTCTCCGGGAACGCCGCGTCGCTGCCGAGCGCGTCTTCCAAGGCGCCCGCGTCGATGGCCCCATCGCGCCCTGCGCCGTCGAGGCCGGGCAGAACCCCCGCGGCGCCCCCCCGCCGCGATCCCGTTCTGGCGGCGGATGCGCCGCGGCTTGCCGGGGCGCGCCGGCCCCGCTGAGCATTCGTGGCCGAGGGCGCCCGACGGAGTCGACCGCGCTCGAATCGCGGCAGCCAAGTCTGGAGCCGAGAGGCGCTCGATCCTCTTGGCATAATCGAAGGCGGCGCCCTCGGGGGGAGAGGCGCGCGCCGCGCGGGCGCGCGTCTGCGGGCGCGCATGCGCGCGCGTGCGCATACGCGCGCGTCGCGCAGCGTGGGCCCCCCAAAGTGGGTTCCTAGCAATCTACGTGGCGCGCCCCGCGCGGCGCGTCCTCCGCCTCCGGGCGCGCTCGCACTCGCGCCCCCACCTTCTGCCCCCGCGGCGGCGAAGGAAGTGCAGCCGGGGGGGCGGGCATCATGGCGTTGTAGACGTGTGGAGAAGAACTGTGCACGCGCAGCGCGCGAGGCCGTGGTGGCATTGCCCGTGGGGTGCCGGGCTCTCTCGCAGCAGCGGCTGCGGTTTAAGTGTCCATCGCGAGCTTGCTCAGGCCGCCCCTTCCTCGCCGCTCTGTCCGCTGCAGTCGCGGCCACTTTTGGGTGCGAGCGCGTGGGTCCGTCGAGGAGCTCCCGCGCTTGATCAGTTGTGCGATGGCGCCCTGTTGAAGATGTCGCTTGTGCCGTTCCCGCAGCAGGCGCCGCGGGCAGTGGGCCTGGGTGACTTGAGTGGTCGAGGAAACACTTTCTTCGGCCATTTTGGAGCGTGCGTTCAAGTTGCCTACGGCCCGCTGCCCGTGCTGCCTGCTGGTCAGAGTGGTCAGAAAGTACAAGCGGGTTTGCAGGAATGGCGTCGTCATGTAATTGAGCAGGCGCGGGGAACCTTGGGTGGACCCGCAGACTTGCGCCCAGCGCGGCTGCAACTGAAGCGGCCAGAGCGGCGGGACAAGGACGGCCCACACAAGCTCGCCACACGGCGCTTGCAGCGCCGCCGTTGTTGCGAGCGAGTCCAGCACCGCGCGGAGAAATGTCGATCTCAACCCATGCCTGACCTTGTTGTTCCCATGTTGTTTCCCGCTCCAGTCTTATCGCCCGCTCCTTAGTACCAGCCGTCATTGGAATTTGGGAAGACGGTGCAGAGGCGGCGGAGGATGGTCGGGGGAGGGAAGAAGGCAGCAGCAGGGAGCGGGAGGAAGGTTTCGGAAGGATGAAAGAGAGAGCAGAAAAGGAGGCAGGAACAGCGACGAGTGGAAGAAGGGAAGGGAGGGCCGAAACAACGAGGAGGTAGGAGGACACGGGGGCTGGGAGAAGGGCAGGTGCAAGCGGAAATGGGGCGCAGGATCGGAGGAAAGAAGAGAGGCGGGACGAGGGAATGAGGGGGACAAGAATACGCAGGAGGATTGAGGATGGGTGCGGAAGGAGGAGGTGGAGGAGGATGATCGAGGGCGACATATCGGGCGGTGGAGAGCGGGAGGGGGGAGGATGGGGTAGGAACAAGAGCAGAAAGAGGAAAAGAGGGATCCACCGCCTGCCGCCGCCGTTTGGCATCGTCGTCGTCGTCTCGTCGTCATGGTCGTGGTCGTGGTGGTGGTGGTCGTCGTCTTGGTCGTCTTGGTCTTCGTCGTCGTCGTTTTAGTCGTCGTCGTCGTCGTCGTTTTGATCGTCGTTGCCGTCGTCGTCGTCTTGATCGTCGCGGTCGTCGTCGTCGTCGTCGTCGTCATCGTCGTCCGCGCCAAAAACATTGAGCACACTCCATTAAAACAGCTTTGTTTTGGACGTAGTTAACTTGCACCCTTGCCCGTGGATCTACATGTATTTTTCTGGCGGTGCTTTGCCTCATCGGAGCGTGCCGTCAAAGGGTCGCGTGAAAATGCGAGCCCCAACTTGCATGAATCGGCGAATTTGTGGGTAACTGAGCGTCGATGGCTGTGCCAATATTCGAAATTTGCGTGGGGGGCCACGCGTAAATTTCCAAACCTCTGGACATCTGTGGGTGACCAACCAGGTGTAACCATTCCCGAATAATCGCTTGCCATGAAGGGATCCCAGCGGATGTTGAAGGATGTGGCTCAAGTGCACGGCCGATTTCGGTGGTCGGCCGGGTTCTGGGGTTCATGGCTCTGGGTTCCCCGGTTCTCCGCTGCTGGTTCCAGCTCGATTTCGGTGGACGGCGGGGTTCCCGGGTTCCCGGGTTCTTGGTCATGGTCGGTTTTCTTATCGATCGGTGCCACCATTGATCTCACTGTCCAACTTCTCTATCGATCTCACGATCGATCTCACAATCGATCCTACGACTCACGAGCAATTTCGCGATCGATCTCATTATGGATCCTCGGAATCGACTTCAGTATCGGTCTGACGATTGACTGTTTTATCGTCCTCGTTGTGGACCTCAGTGTCGATTTCACAATCGATCCCAAAATCGATGTCAATATCCGTAACACGAGTTCTCAAATCATCCATTCCTTGTGGATTTCGTTGGTGTTATTGTGCAATTAGATGTAACTGGGGGCAGCCAAGTGCAACTCAGTGCAACCAAGTGTAACTACGTGCGACCTCGTGTAATTGGGTGTAACTCGGCGCAGTTATGTGTAACTCTGTGTAGCTAGGTGTAGCTACGTGCAACTAGGTGTAGCTACGTGTAATTTGGCATAAATTGGTGAGACCGTGACGGCCGCTGCCGTTCAATGTGCGATACCACTTGCCGGCGCGCTGCGATTTTGAGCTGCCGTCATGTCAATTCGCCCTGGTCCCAGAGGAAGATAAGGCATCGATGCCGCCACCCTGGCCTCGTTTTCGCCTTTTCGGGGCATCCTGCGGAACCCTCATCGCCACGGCTGGATTCGTTTGGAAATCCGGGTGAAATCGCGCACCAGGAGAGGTCCAGGAAACAGCAGTATCGGTATACATTTTTTTGGCTCCCAGGAACGCCACCAGAGGGCCGCCGGCGTGGCCGTGGCCCCGGGCAGCGAGCCGTGGGTTGTTGCCGAGGCTCGGCGGCGTCCAAAGGACACTGCCAGTTCGGCGCTGCAGAAGTGCAGCATTCGAGCGGGAGCTGGGTCAGGGCCCGTGCAGTTGTCGAGACGACGTTTTTGTACGCATCTGTTGCGCAGGCCGAACACAAAGACGAGGGATCAGGCGGGGAGGCGAGGAAGGAGCATGGCGAGGGAGCGGGAAATGCGAGTTCAAAACAAAGAACGACACCGTCCACTTCGACTGGCAATTCTTGGTGGACGGACTCCTTAGCTATAGCTAGCCAACCGACAGCCGGAGAGAAAGCCGGGGTGTGAGGACTGGGGCTCTTGTTGTTTCCGAGGCAGTTTAATATCTTCGATCCTCGAGGTTCGAGACTCGGACGGGGTTTTGGGGGTGACCGGCTGGGGCCATGACATATCCCAGATTCCTCGGCCCCCTCCTCCTCATGCAGCCCGTCCCCTGTCTGTCACCCCTAGAGCCGAGGCGGCGGAGAAGTAACAACACCTTTCGGAGGGCTGCGCTGATTTCTTGGGTCGGTGATGGCCCTCCTGGGCGGCGACTCGAGCGCAGCCTCCAGCGCGCGGAGCGCGCCAGGGAGGGGGGTCCAGCACCGACTCAAGAAATCTGCGCGGAGCTTCGAACGTTGCTTTCACGCCCGGCACGTCGGGGTTGTTGTATTGAAGGAACAGGGCCCTCGACATCCCATCGTACACCCAGCATCCCAAGTGTGCTGGTGCTCCATGCGGATTCCACTTCGCGATCTCGTGTGGGGATCGATCGAAGTAAGATACGTAACGCTCCAAAGTTGCGGGTAAGAGTAAGGGGGCGGCGCGAACGTCGGCAGTCTGCGAGGCTCTGGAGGAGCCCGCCGCAGGCGCCTCCTTTTCACATATTGCACAATGAGCCCGCCGCAGGCGCCCATTTGTTCGTTAACGCAATGTGGGTGGGTCGCGGGTGGGTCGCGGGCGGGTTACTTACGGGTGGGTCGCTTTTGGGCGGCGGGGACGTCGGCAGTGTGCGAGAAGCTGCAGAGGCCCGCCGCGTGCGTTTACATGCCACCAATTATACACCGAGCCCGCCGAGGGGGCCGATTGTTTCGTTAACGCAGCGTGGGTGGGTCGCGGGCAGGTCGCGGGTAAGTCGCGGGGTGGGTCGCGGGGGAGTCGCGGGTGGGTCGCCGGCCGGGTCGCGGGTGGGTCGCGGGTGGGCGGGTGGGGTAGGTCGCGGGCAGGTCGAGGCGGGGTCGTTGGTGGGTCGCCAGCGGGTCGCGGGTGGGTCGGTAGTGGGTCGCGGGTGGGTCGCGGGCCGGGTCGCGGGGGGGACGACGACAAGAACAACGCAACGCAACGCAACGGCAAGCAGAATCCGCGCCTCGGAATCCCATCTCAGCCGCGCGTCCAGGGAGGTGAATGACCGTTCGGCCCCCTCACTCTGAAGTAGTGTTTATGTTTTCTTGTCTCTGTAAGTTTCTCGGATGTCAGCGCGGGTTCTTGGGTCGGTGCTGGGACCTTGTGGATGACCGGAAACTTTGATTTACTCCGGAAGGCGGTTGCCTGTCGATTTTTTATTTGGTCTAAGTTTCACAGTGATAATCTCAGCTCTGACATGTGAAACTCTTGCAGCCCTCCTCGCGACTGCTGTGCTAGGTAGCATGCCCGCTCAACCACCAGCATCACATCCTAAATACAACCAGCATGCAATGGCGGAAGACAATCTTCATCTACACTCATTCTTTGGCTGTAGCGCGTGCCGCCTCCAGAGTTGATCAGACTCCACCGCTCTCATCTCCGTGGGCCATTCATAACCTCGAAGGGTGTGTGCACATTGTAGTGATCAGCTCCAAGCTCCCCGTTCTCGATCTCCAATCGGCTGGTACCCCCCTGTCGGCCAGGCCATAAAGCTTTGATCTAGACTTGTACGTGACGGGTCCCTGCACAGACTCCGTCCTCATTTTAGTTTACACCCTTCTCGCTGCGATTCCTCTCGCGCTCTCCTCACGCCCCTCGGTTCGTGGATCGAACTCCTACTCTCCCTTCTGTTTCGCAGGTTCGGGCATCGAATATCTCGCACCTCCGTACTCGATCGTCCTGGTCATCATGATGCACGTCATGGGCACCGCCACGATCGTTAGGATACTGTGGCCTCCCAAACCACAGGCTTCACTCGAATTGAAGACAGTTGCGTTGACGTTCACGTCGTCGTAGTATTCGTATCCGTTTGCTTGCAGAGCCAGGCCCAGCATCGCCATGACCTTCACCAGCACCTTTGGCCTTACGACGGTCGTCTCGCTGATGCTGATCAGGCCAAGCGGGTCCATATGCCTTGACGGGTCTTCGTGTCCATCAGTTTTGATCCGCTGCCGACCTACTTGGTGCTTCGTATTAAATTATGTGACCATGAAGACTCCGTTTTCCACTATGTTTGATGTCATGGCCACCGCGTCTGTAGGTGTCGTATTCGTCCAACCCCACGTTTGTGCATCATGCCCTTCGCTGCTGCTGAATCTGCGTTCAAGTCAAGGACGGTATCATTCGAGCCGTTTCTCATTTCGGCCATCTCCAACAATACATGCTTGATGGTGGCCCCCTTGGCAGTCCCCGATCCGATCGCATATAATTCCGACTGTCCACTCGATGGAGCCACCGTCATTTGTGATAACACCCAGTTTTCGAGCAGGTGTCGTCCTAGTACTACCCTTCTTGACGAGATGATGTTGCGCTCGACGTCATTCCCAGCCCAACGGGCGTCCATGGGCACGTCGCCAAGTTGGTCGCCGCTTTGTAGGGGGTAGTAGATGAGGATGTTCCTCGTGCCACTCAGGTACCGAACCAGCCCCTCCTGCTTGAGTAGGTTCTTCCCGAAGTGGGCGCAGCTCTGCTCTTTAGGGGTTCCTGCTGGATGCCCCGACAGTCGGTCGCCAGTTACTGCGCGATGCCATCGCAGCTTCGACATCCCATACTGAGTGCTCGTGCAAACGGGTCCTCAACTATTCGAGCTGTTTTCACATTATGTTTCGAGTTTGGTGCGTCCGCCAACTTGGCGCGCTTCAGCTCGCAGCAGTCAGCCATTCCCCATATGTGCTTCGGGTCGGCGAGGATGCCGAAGCCTTCCTCGCCCCACAACACCGCACTGTTCAAGCTCGTACCCTCTCGAGCTCCATCTGGCCCCAGTCGCGGCTGTGGTTTGGCGTTTATTGTTGGGCAATCTTTGGGCCGACGCTATGGACGTCGGAATTTTACGTCTGGGCCCCTGGCGGGCGCCGCCTACGCTGCCGAAGTTCACGGTGTCTCTGGTCATGTGTTCCCAGGGCTTTGGCAAGGTTTGGGGAGCGCGCATAAACCATCGGCCGGCATGAGATGTCTCACCCCGTTGTTGATCCTTGAGAGAGACCCCGCCGCCCCTGCAGTTGACCCAGTCGCGCGACACAGCAAGGGGGCCTGCGCGGACCAGCGCAGGATTTGAAAGCACCCTCTCTAGAGTTTAAGTTCTTGCGCGAGGCCCGGGGGCAGGTCTTGAACCTCGAGGCCGATGAGCCAAAGCTTGCCCGGCGATCCGCGCATGGGCCGATCGGGGCCATGAGGTTCCCTCGGCAGCGCATTCAGTGGGGGGTGGATTTTTTCTGAGCTAGTGAATGATTTTTCGGCGAGGTCATTTGGCTCACGCCGCGCCCCCCTGCCTGGGTTAAGATGCTTCTGGTCGAAGGGGTCTTGGGGCTTGCAGTAGGAGTCAGGTCAGGCTCTAGGCGTCGGTCAGTGGCTGCGTTGCGAGGTGGTGGAGGCGCAGCTGCATTCCATCAAATTTTCGGTTTGCGAGGAGAGATTCGCGCGTGGTCTTAGTTGGGGAGCAACTCGGGCCGTGGGCCGCGCGGTCGATGGTCACTAGCTCGCTCGCGATCGTTGCCCGCTCTGCCCGGCCGCCCCCGATTGCTTAATGCGCCGGTTTTGGTTTCGCCCCCGGCGCCAGTCGAAGCGCGATGATCTCGTCGGGGCCCAGGTCCAGGAGCCGGCTAGGTAGGGGTGCGGGCGATCCCGCGACAGCGCTGCTATGCACAAAGGAGCTCTTCCTGCGCCCAGGCGACGAGCGGCTATGACCTTGCGCCGCGGGGGTGGGGGCCCGCGACGCGCTGGGAAGGGGGCCCTCAGAGATGGCGCGGCCGTTTTCGGGGGATCTATTCATGGGTGGGAGTTGTCGGAGACATATTGTCGATGGGGCTTTCTCGAGCTTGTTGGGGTGTTATTGCCGATGGGCGCGCGCGCGGCACTCTGCCCGCCGCCCATGGGCCCGCCTGGGGCCCCCCTCCGCAGACGGGCCAGGCCGGGAATTCAGGGCTCTAGAGGCGCCCTCGCAATGGCAGGCGAGCGCGCCGCGGGGTTTCTCGGATTGCTTGAAGGGGGCGACAGCCCGCGAGGAGCCCCCGGGTCAAAACGCTTTCTCGCGAGAGGCCTTGCAGGGCCTATGTTTTCTAGCTTCGCTGACTCCCGGTCGGGGCCCACCCTCAAAGGCGGGGCCCGCGCCGAAGCATCGGAGGATTTGCCCGGCAGGGGCGGGCGCCATACGGCTGTCGGCGACGCTGCTGACGAGGCAGCGAAAGCAGGTCTCGCCGCCTATCCCAAGCCCGCGGAGGCGCGCCAGTCGCAGCTGTCGCAGCATGTTGGCGCGCCGATGGCCACGCGCGTTGTGGCTGCGCGCCTGCTGCCGCCCTGGCAACGATTCGACCTCGGCGGCGTCGAGCTGGCGAAGACGCCCAGCAAGCGGCTGTCGGCGGCGGCCGTCTTTGATTTTCTGCGCGCGCGAGTGGCGCCGATCGCGTTGGCGGTGCGAGATGCGCTTCCGCGTCAGTGGGCAGGCGGGCTTAATATACGACGCGCCCTCCCGAATTTGCCGCGGGAGATCCCTCGGCGGCGGCCCCGTCTTGTTTGTTCCAGTTTGTTGCCATTGGTCGCGGGTTGGCGTCGCCCCAGCTCGGCTATGGCCCACCCGCGGTCGCGCGCTCCCTGCCCCATCGATTCCGGGCC